AGGCTCTGGAAAAGTACTGGCCAGGTGCATGGCTAACTGTCTGAGGGGTAGATTTGATGGCAGTGGGCACAGGACAGTGCAGGGATGGGACTAGAGAGCAGCCCCTGGTCCAGGCTGGGTGAGCCAGCCCCTCTCAGATGCTAGAGGAAGCAGAGGCCGTCGCTCTCCCCTGCCAACCATGCACTACTGACCTCACTAGTAGATTAATCCTCCTTGTGCAGGGTTGGGAAATAATCTCTCGGCAACTCCAGCAATGAAAGCCGCTCTCTGGAGCGGCGTTTTCCCTGGGGCTGCCTGCACGTTCCGTGGGGGACACTCTGAGCACTTCTGTCCCATTAACATCCATTGGTTATGTCATTGCCCGCGCCTCATCTGGCGAGCGCAGCCTGTGTTCTCTGCAGCTGTGAGCATCGCAGGGGCAAACAGCCCTTTGCTTTGGGCTCCCATGGAAACTAGTGCAGAGCTGTCTGTTTGCAGCATTACAGTGTGTCTGTGTGGGGGGGGGGGGGGTCTTAGTGTCCCTGCCTGGAGAGACACTACCCAGGGGAAACTGGATGAATTGACTAAGCTCCTGATAGGAAGGCAGAAGCCTGTGTGGTTACGACCAGACTGAGCGGAGACTCCCTCTTCACTCCCCTGTTCTCCCTGGCCTCGACTAGAGTCACTTAATCCCTATACTCCATGGGGCAGGGACACATTGCTTACAGACCCTGAGCTTGGGGGGGGGAGGGATGGGCTTTCAGTGCTATGGACCAGAGACCAGCAAATAGCAATCCAGAGATGAGCCTTAAAACTGGCCCTAGAAGAGGGTACTGTCAACATCCTCTGCACAGGCATGACAGAGAGCACAGAGCTGTCGGCTTCTGAGCCTCTCTGGGAAACGTTTCTATTCCAGGCTAGGAGACCTATGGAGAGGCTGAGCCAGCACCAGGCAATCTCTAGCACTTGCACTGGAGAGCCGATTACGCTAATTTTAGAAGGTTGCTAATTGCCGTGTCTGACAGTCGGTGCCTGGGAGGAGGCGGCAGCAAGGATTAAAATGCAAATCACACATTTACCTGACAAATGGCAGTGGAGCAAGTGGAGAGATTTCCCCCGTCCAATTGTGGTCATGTTGTCCCCATCCCAGCAACAAATTGTCTGGGACCAGGATAAGTTTGGGAGCCTTAGCCAGGATGACTGTGTGGCAGAGCCTGTTCCCTGGGACTCAAGAAGGTGTCTGTGCCCTCTACAGGGTCCCAGGCTGAGAGGCATGTGGCACAGGTACTACCAGGCTATCTGGGAGAGTGGGCCCTGCTGCCTGCATTAGGCATGTCCAGGCGTAGGGACCACTGATACTGGACAGTCTCCAGAGAGAACTGCCAAGCTGAGGCTCTCAGATAAGGGCTCAGGAAATGTTTAATTCTGGCCCTTTTTCTGCCTCTCAACCAATTTTCCACATGCTCAGGCAGCTCTTGTGGCAGTCAGAAAACCTCGTGCGACAAGGCAGGAAGGTAACATCTTTTATTGGGCCAATGTCTGGTGGTGAGGGAGACGCTTTCAAGCCACACTGAGTTCGCCTTCCTATCTCTGACCAAGCTCTGTGTCCCCCGCCTTGTCTCTCTGACAGCCTGGTACTGACATAGCTATGGCACCGCAAACCGAAAATTCACTCCTGTCCCCACAGTGTGGGGCCGTGTCTAGACCTTGTGATCACCCAGCCTGGGAACCTGTGCCCTCCTTCCCCTTTCAGAGCTCTCCTGAAGTAGGGGTTTGATGTTCTGTTGGCCTCAATGCAGCCTTTCTTGGCCTGTTTGCCAGCTTTGTTCTCTGGTGGCAGGAAATCTGCGAGCTGGGCGCCGAGCTGCTCTGTTCTCTCTCAGTTCAGCTCTTGCTAAGGGCCTGCCTTGGGGAGAGCTTCATAAGTTCTGTGGGGGAAGATCTCTCATGTAAGTGTGCTGCTCCCAAACCCAAGCCCCTCTCTATAACCCGCGTCTGCTGGGTCATCTTCTCACGTTCTACCCTGTGTCGCCTTGTCCCTCCTGCCAAAGAAAGAGGCTGTTAGTAGCATGCTAAGGCAGAGAACTGCCTGAATGGCCCAGGAGTTACCTTTTCTGATAGTCCCCCATGAAGGCTGCTGCCATCATGCTGTGGTCCCACAGTGTGAATAGCCTTGTGTTCATTTGAGAGGTTACCTCCCCTTGCCCTGCATGTACCTGGCCACATGCAACAGGAGAAAGCAACAGAACTGAGAGGGTTTGGCCCAGCTGCCTATGCTGTGTCTCAGAGGGAGGAAGAGGCCAGAGTAAGGCAGGAACAAGCAGCTGGAGAAGCCTGCGGGAATGAGGCTTCAACCGTTATCAAACCAGCCATGAGTGCAGTTTCCTGTTGTTGTCGTGAGCATTTCCAGGGCTTTGTTTCTTGGCGGAGTCCTGTGGAAATGGCTGGCCTGATGTCAGAGCTGTTCCTGTGTGCAGGGAAATGTCTTATTCCCATTGTCTTGCATCCTCTTGCCAAATGCTTGGCCTTGGGAGCCCGGAAATCTTCCCCTTCCCCCCTCTGAAGGCAGGTGGCACCTCCAGGAGTGCCAACCCATAGCAAAGACATCCCATGCTGGTCTGGGGTGTGAGAGGGAGGAACCATGAGCTCTCACACTGCCACCTGCTCTTGTGGTGATGCTCAGACTCAGTCTGGAAGCACATTTGGTTTTGCTAAATTTCGGGTGTGGGGGTGGCTTAGCCATTGGTTACGTGAGAAAGGGAATGATCATTGAACTCAGCAGTTCCACATCCATGTGCCTCTGGTCTGGCCTAGCATGTGATATATAATCCAGGCCTGTCTGAGGCCCAGTTCTGGAGGGGGCTCGAGTGCCTAATGACCCTGCAGAATCAGGGCTTCAGAGGGCCTAGTGAATCAGGTGCCCTGCTGACGGGTGAGACTCCTCCCAAAAAAACAGCAAATCCTGAGGTGGCAGCAGAAGGGGATTTGCAAGGGGACATGCTGGTGGAGCTATATGAGCTAAGTGTCCAAACCGTCAGTGCCAGTGGCCACTTGCATGCTGGCTGACTAGCCAGTCTGCTCAGCTAGCCCCACAGGTTCAAACTGGCCTTCCAAATACACTCAGAGGCTTCTTTCCAGGGCTCTCTAGCCACAGCCCTGTCTCCATCAGTGGCTTCAGAGGCAAGTGCGTGAGCCCCCTGGTGGACAACTGTGGGATAATGTGTCCATGTGGGATGTTTCTTCTGACCCTAGGCTGCTGGGGGAGGCTTGTGCCTTGTACCGGAGCCTTTGTCCCATGTAACTTTTATCCGATCTGATGAAGTGGGTTTTACCTAGACAGGCTCATGACCTAATATTTGTTAGTCTCTAAAGTGCCACAGGACTGTTGGTTGTTTGTGATTATCTCGCCAGTTACAACTGTGGATGGTCTCTCGTACACATAGCTATGTGCTGAGTATGAGTGGCCTTTCTCGCACTCCTGGCAAGGAGTTCCACTGGCTAGTTAAACAAACGTTAACACACTTTGTGATCAGTTTTAAATGTTGACTTTCATGTTCAGTGACTGTTCTCTTGCTCTTGCCTTGCACTGGAGGATCAATAAGGATGCCAGTCCTATCTCAGCTGTTAATTATGTTACTGTATCATTGTCAGCTAACTTAGTGTAAGTTAAAGAACTCCAATCTTTTCCATTTTATCATGTGGGAATGGTAGGGCCCCTCTAAATGCTGGTGTTTACACACATCCAGCTGCAGCAAGAGGATAAGCCGGAATGGACTGAACCCTCTGCCCCCTGCCAGGCAATTGGCATGTAGCCGAAGGCAGCCAGACATGTGTAGGACTGGCTGTAAAATGGAATGACTGTTTTCCCCCTGAGTCCCGGTGCTGGTCTTGATGCCCTCCCCTGCCCTGAAGAGCCAATGAATTGATTTCCATGCTTATCTGACAGCCCTGCCTGCCTGCCTGCTGTGGTCAGAAGAACCCTGGCTGATTGCAGAGGCACAGCCCTGAGAATCCACTCACGCAGCCTCATCCTTGCTGGCACAAATGTAAACACAGCTGATCAAGGTTTCTAAATAAATCACAAGGGAGCTGGTGCATTAAAATTTGCTGGACAACTTGTTCCTGGTCACTAGCCCCTGTACACAAGGCCTCCCACTAAGAGATTGTATCTGTGATGGGAGCAAACGCTGCAGTCAGGTTGTGTATGGAATTTAGACGATAGAAATGGCAGTGGGCAAAGCCCAAGGGCGATGTGATAACTCCCCTTCCCTTGTGGGCAAGCCGCCTCTCTCCTTGGCATCTTCCATGGCAGTGCAATGTCAGAAAGATGCAGAATAATTCCCAGCCAGTGAGATCTCAGCTGATGCTTTGCCCCGCAGCTTCTGTGTGCAAATCGAAACAGTTAGACTTGGGCTCATCACTATCAGGAGCCATTAGCTTGGAAGCGAAATGTTTCTGGGGGTGCCTCTACAATTAAAACATTAAGACCCCGGGAGAGCTGTGGCAGCCAGTCCCTCTCTGCAGTGCAAGTACAAACAGAAATATTTCCAGCAGGGCTGCAAATGGACAGATCCCCTGGCCGCAGCCCTCGTGGGAAATGCATTTCACTTTTATGGGCTTTGGCAGTTCCCCTCCTATGGCTGTGATCAAAGAATACTATTGCTGTGGAGCCAGGATCCTGAGCCCTCCCAACTCTGGGCACATGTTAGCCAGTCCCTGTATTTCCAACTCTCTGCTTCCTCTCTGGCCTTGATTGTTTTTTTTTTAAACCTCAGCTCCCGGAGTCAGGAGCTTGGGTCAGCATCTCCACTTTCAATGTAAAATCAGTAGGTCTCCCAGTTGCTGAGCGATGCTCAAAATGTGGCATAAGCGCCCCTTCCAGACTCAGAAACTAGAAGGCAAAAGCCTGTGTGTTTTTAAAATGATCCCTTGAGTGTGAGCCAGCCACACTCACGACATTGGAACCCTCAGGACTGGCAATGCTGTGCTCCCTTCTTTTGCGCCTGGTGCGCCGCAAGACCCTGGGATCCCAGGAGATGCTGAGGGGCTCTGGTGGCACTTCAGGTTTGAATGGTGCCCTTTAGCCATAGTGGGGTCCTGGTTCCTAAGTGGCAGACTGCCCCCATTGTACTGAATTTCTCTCTCTCTCCCGCTCCCTGCAGGTCTCTCGTCTGCACTGCTGGAAGTCCATGTGGGGCAAACGTCCGTCTCTACAATCCAAGGCCAGCGGGTGGTGTTGCCGATCTGGTACACGAGTAGGTCTCAGAGGATCCCCTATGTCTCATGGGTCTTTGGGAGACCAGGAGCCAATCGCTTGCAGGTAAAGGCAGGGGAGGCAGGGAGGGGAGCTGCTTTGCTGAGGACCACAGGGTGCAAGTGGGGTCAACTGCTGACTGAGCTCCTCTCCCCTTGGTTCCTCACTGAGAGGGAGCTAAGAGAGCAGCTCGGTCAGTGGTGGAAACTGCAGCTCATTGGCAGGCAAGTGAATTAGGGTGGGTCCTGCAATGGCTGTTGGACACAGATCTGGAGCCTACCTGGCCGCATGCTCTGGAGCACACCAGCCCTCGGGCTGCATTGCACTGCTCCCCTTAGACTGGCCATTCAAGCTGGCCCTTCTCCATAAAATGAAGGTGGCCACTGTGGGACACACGGAAATATTTGTCAAGTTCTGTATAAGGCTAGTCAACTGGAGGTGGGGCTAAAACTCAGGGTCTCCCACTTTCCTGTCCCGGACTCACTTCCATGACTGGACAGTGCGGATTCCAAAGGCAACAGCTCGTCCTACTCAAACTTTTTCAGAATTTCTATGCAAGAGCAGAGCCAT